CCACTCTCAAGCCGCATAGGCCCACCCGCCTGTACTACAACCACAACATGTTCACATCACAGGAACGACGCACCCAGACTCCCTCATCGCACATCCCACGCACACTCCCTTTCGTACCGGAAGTGCATGCGCGAGTTGAAGAAGCACTGGCCACCACCCTCCTCCGACATCCACCTGAAAGCGGCAGTGTTGCTGGAGGCATTGTCTGAGGTGAACCCAAGACAAAGCGTCTCCAACCCCCACTGCACCACAGTCTCCTCAACCACCCTCGCCATCTGCTTGCCCGTGTGACGCCCGTGAATCTCGCGGAATTCAAACACCATTGTGCGCAGCTGGTAATTCTCGTCGATCCAGTGACCCGTTACCACTAGCCACGCCCTGTTGTTGGGCGACGTCCACATGTCGATGGTGAACGACACCCTCCACCCCAGATCCCCCTCCTTCGCCAGCATCTCCGCAATGGCTGACTGAAGAGCGGCAGCCGCATAGACCACTGTATCGCGGGAAACCGTCCAGCGCGAGGGGATGAAGTTCTTCTGCGCGCAGTTGCAGTTTAGCAGGATGAGTAGCTCACGAAACTGGAGAGGGGTAGAGACAAGGCGGGAGAGGGGAGTAAACGTTAGGGGGATGGGATGAAGATAATATAACACTGCACTGGGCCACACGCAAACAGTCAAAACACAAAGGGACAGACCCGTCCACTAACCACATACTTACCCAATCATGCATGGGATGGGATGGGGCACTTACAGCCTCGGCCTCGACGATGCGGAAGGGGAGGTCGCAGGTGACCACCAGCTTCGTGATCGCCTGCCGTAGCTGCACCGAGGTTAGTTTGGTTGTCATCCACCGCTCCATCCCGCCTGACCCATGACCTCCACCAGTCGCCATCCCTTTCCCCTTGGCGAGCTGCGGCCAAGTCTTGGCATGTGGCCACTGATAGACGTAGCCATCCGGCACTCCCTGCTAGCCCCCACGTGGAAACGTCTCCCCTGGCAAGTGAACGGACGGGGTGTGGTAACGGTGATGCCACACATGCATGTGCGCAGTGTGGAAGCTCGCAAAGTGCCGCTCGCCGGGGGTTGTTGTGGATTGCTTCCACGAAATCCTGTCTGTGCAAATCTTGCACTGACGCTTATCGTCTGCCCCTAACGGTCCGAACATCATTACTTGCCACCCCGGCTTCCTATTACCCTTGCCAGTCCCCTTACTACTCTCGGACCCTCCGTCCTCGTCTAGGAACTCGGGAGCGATCACACCCTCGCCCAAGGGCTCCCCAGTGAACGTGCAAGGATACGCCCGCTCCCTCAACTTGTTGGCCTTCTTCCTCTGCCTCGGCTCCCTAATGGTCACGGCCTTTCTCCCCCCCACCTTAACCCCCACGCTCCCTCCCCCTTCACGCACATGCTGTGATCCCGCCTCTGTCGCCGCCCTTCCACCACCCTCTCCCACCTCCTCCTCCCGCCCCTCTGGCTCCAACCCATCCATCTCGTGGTCTTCATCATCATCATCTCCCCCCTCCCCACCACCATGCGTCTCTGGGTCCCACGCCGCCTCGCTGTCATCCCTGCTCCCCTTAGTGTCCTCCTCCTTCTCGCCTTCACCATCCTCCTCCTCATCCTCATCCTCCTCCTCACTGCCGCTCTCCGGCTGCGTCGGCGTCTGCCCCGAAGGAGGGGGCCGAGGGCCGTCGTAACGGAAAGAGCGACGAGAGGTCGGCGCCGGTACGGTAAGCAACCCCCCAACGAAGATCGCGCCGGCTCCACCCGGTCCATCCCCTACTCGCCCCTGCATAGGTCGTGGTGGAGATCCCGGTGCGCTGCCCTGAGCCCTGCCTACACCTCGGCCTATGAATCCACCAGCCCTGGAAGCCATAACTCCGCCCTCGACCCTAAACCCTAAAACCCCCTAAGGCAACGGTAGCGTTGGATGGTGTCGCACGTTCCTAAACGTTATCCCGCACGGTTAGGTCTCTGAAATGCCCGATCCGAATCCTACGGCGTAGGATACGCCCTACTTGAGCCCTTTGCGGAGATGCTCGCTGAACCTTAATAGTAACCCTAAACTCCCTACACTACGTTAAACCCTAAGCATAGATCTATCTATCTAATGTCCGTTTACAGTGCAAGTATCAGCGTGCACTTGCTTGCACCTAGAACAAGGAGGCTAGGGCGGCTGTGTGAGGGAGGGCTAAGGCGAAAACGACTTCTGAGTTTGAGCTCACGAAATGAGCTCAAACACTAATTGGCCGCGACCTAAATCTGGTCGCGGCCAATTTTGACGCGAACATTTTTGGTGTTCGCGTGGCCCCCAAGTCGAACACGAACATGTTCGTGTTTGGCTTGGAGAGCCAAAATTCGGAGGCGAACGTCGAACATGTTCGGCCGAACACAGGACATGTTCGGCCCGAACAATCTAGGCAAAAAAAAATGCCTGTTGGTTCGCCTCGAACATGTTCGAGGCGAACCGAACAGGCGTTCGAGATTTTGCTCATCCCTAGATCAGATGTGAGAGAGATCTCTCCCCCTCGCCCATGGTGACGTGGTGAGAGAGCTTTCCTCTGTGATGGGGAACGACAAAGCGCTCGCTAGTGGTGCAAATCACCGAAGACACAGACAACGATGGTGTCAGCAGGGCATGACTTACAATCTGGGTGCCAGTACGCATGACAGTTGCCACCGCCATTCACATGGCCAAGCCCCCGTGAGGAAACTTGCCATCTACTTCTCTGCCAACATGATCAAGTGAGGGAATACGTTGGATCTGTGGTGTGAACACATGGCTGGGTAGGGAGATGTGCACTGCACAAGGATGATGATGACCAGCAGTGGCTGGCCAGGTACAATGGAGAATTCTCTCACCAAAATTGTATGTAGAAAATTTTTTAAGCTGTCCCTCACAATTGGTCAATCCCAATTGTGAGCTCACCTTCCTCTCAAGGAATGTCTTGTCCCCAACGCTAACAGCTGACTACCTTTCCTTCTCAAGGTTGATCTATTGAGACGCCCTCTAGAGTGACAGCTAGGCCTAAATAAATATCCAACCAGCTCTAGTATCGTATTTTTACAGCATGCATTTTCTCCAGAACTGAGATATCATGCCACTCCCCTTGAAACCCTTTATATGAGAGATGGATCCGACATTTCCATTGCAGTGATGTAAGTGGGAACAATCAAATGATGGTTAGTCAGTCAAAGCATTGCTCATAAGATTGATGGTGTGAAAGCATTGCTGATAAGATTGATGGTGCACACATCATCTGACATTTCCATTGCAGTGATGTAAATGGAAACAATCTCAATGGCCAACTCCCTCCAACAATGGGCAATCTTACTCGTCTTTCATTCTTGTAAGGCATGCAGATTAAATTGTTGCAATGTCCATCATTGCTCCTTAAAGCGAATCACGAGGAGGAGCTATACAAGGAGCCAATATGTTTCGCTCGTGTACCTGAGCTAGTACTGTTTCAGCCATAAGTAGGAGGTATACAAGGTACCAAAGGTCGTGATGACTATCCCGGCTCAATCCGTTTCGGCACAACAACTGATGTTGGGTCCAGACCACGTTAAGCCATTCCCTATTGCCTACCATGCATGGAAACCAATATATGGTTTACTGGGTTTTTCTACGAATAAAACATCTTGGCATAGTATAGCATTGTAATGTCTCACCAAACCTTCCCTTTAGAAATCTCAAAGAGTTTCATTCAGAGCTGATGCTGGTTTCTGGTTCTTAGTTTGAGAACACCCCATGTGCACATGCAGGTACGTATATTCTGCTGCAATCGCATGCCCTCCTAAATACAGCGGCTGTGTGGTCAAACAGAACATTTCAAGTGCTTTCTGCCAGCAGTGTAGCTCCTTCTGCACCACCTGTGACAAGCCACAACCAGGTGAAATGCAATCACTTTATGCGGGTCGCTGCAAGTAATATTGCCTTTCTGACAACGCTCTCATTCGTGCTGAGTGCATGAACACTACACTGCCATCTACAAAACAAACTTCTGCATTGTCACGCATCCACAACTTATTCCGAAGAATACGAAAGAATACCTCGTGGCTTTTGCTGATTCTTTTTTTTTCTCGACCTTTCAGAGTCTTTGTTTGCTTTTTCTCCCACATCTCTTTTCATCAAGCGCACCGTTATTCCCACGTGTGATAGCCTTTTCCGTTCAGTATATCCATCTTCCTATTCTTTATATGTACCTCCCATCACCAGTGCTATCCAGCGGAGCCATTGCTGGCATTGCTGCTGCCGGCGCTGTGGCTTTCCTAGTGCTGCTGCTGCTTATCTGGGTAATGTGCAAACGATACCACACCAGAGGGTCAACAGGAGGCACAGATGTGGACGGCAAAGATTTGGCTGAAGAAAGTGCACTCCAAGGTAGGACCTTTTCAGTCTACGCTGTTCGAAATACAGCCTCCTCCCAAACCCTAAGTTCCCGTCCACATTTAATTCTTCATCTTCCTCTTGTCTCCTTCACCACCTCTGACAGACATGAAACCTGATCATCCCAACGCAGCATCCAAGGCAGAGAATAGGGACCCAGAAGGAGAAGCAGCTGCTGCAGCAGCTGCGGCTGTGGCTGCAGGAGCAGCGGAATGGGTGAAGGAGAGAGACATGGTGGTGGAGATGGAGGCAGTGAAGCCACATGTGTGCCAGAAGTTCACTCTGAAAGAGCTCGCAAGCGCAACGGGAGACTGGGCAGAGGGGAACAGGATTGGCAGCGGCAGCTTTGGAGATGTGTACAAGGGCGTGTCGCTGTATGACCCCAATGAGATGTGGGCTGTGAAGCGATCTAGGGTCCTCTCCAATGACTTCCTCACTGAGGTACCACACTTCCATAGTGCTGATTTCAGCATCCCATTAGGAATCAAATAGTTACTCATCCATGTCAATACACTCTCAAACAAACACAGACTTGCAAAGGCACATGCACTTCCTTTTCCTCTTGCTCGTTCCATTTCTTATTTTCCCCTCTCGTCTCGTAGGTGAAGGAGATGGCCAGCAAGCACCACCCCAACCTGGTGCGCCTGTTGGGCTTCTGTTTAAACTTCGATTCCAGCACAGGCCAGATTGAGCAGGTGCTCGTGTATGAGTTCATGGCAAATCGCGACTTGGAGAGCTGGATTGGACCAGGTAATAAAACATCATTATCTTTATGATGGATGTCTTATCACACTCTTCGATAGCCATTCTGTTGGAGAAATTTCTGTGTGTGATGTGAGCTCAGAAATTTGGAAGGCTAGATTGTTTCATGTGTCCTGCACCTGCCGCAAACCTTCTGTCGTGCCTTCCAAACTCTTTCATCAGAACAGTCAGTTTCTGAAGAACAGGCTCCACCTATTTTCCAACTAACATTTGATTTGGAACCATTTCTTCAAATTCCCCTTTCTTAGGAGCTCCAAGCCATCTCTCCCTATTGCAACGACTGGATGTTCTGATTGGAGTGGCCAAGGGGTTGCATTATCTTCATGACTTCAGCATTGTGCATCGAGACATCAAGCCAGCCAACGTTTTGCTTGATGCAAAAATGCATGTACGTCTAACTTTACTTTCTGCCTGCATTCTGTTTGACCAACCATTAACTTAACATTCTGTTTTCTTTTGATTTGCATGCCTTCACATGTTGAAAGCAATTGGTGCTATTCAATATCTAAATTTTACCTACATGCAATTGAAAATGTTGTTCAGGCCAAGATTGCAGACTTCGGGCTGGTGAAACTCACCGGAGGCACCGCTATGGGCACATCTGTGGCTGCCACTCGAGTGATGGGGACACCGGGTTATGTGGATCCTGCCTACTACAAGTCCCACAAGGCCACTCCACCAGCAGACGTGTACAGGTGAGAGGGCAAATATATATATTTATTGGTAGAGTGGGATAATATCTTACTCGAGTGATGTGAACACCGGTCTATCTGGACCCCGCCTTATACAAGTCCCACAAGGCCACACCAGTAGCAGATGAATATTTCCATTTGTGATGCAGGCCTGGCATAGAATGTTCCATTGACATGCCTCACATTAATCTCCATTCTGGTCCTTGCACCTTTTTGCTGGCTTGGAGTTAACAGCTTTGGTGTGGTGATGCTGGTAGTCATCTCGGCACGCAAGGCCGTGCATGCGAGCGAGACCAGCCATATCAGTCTGAAGCAATGGGTAAGCTATAAATGCTTGGTACAGACTTACTGCCTGAGTTCTTCATGACTAATGCATGACCAATGCTCAATCCTCCACTCGGGAGAATATCAGAAATACATCACGTGTATTCGTCCACATGGTTGTGTTCTCTTTCAACCCAACAGATCGCCCCGTTTGTCGAGTCAGATGCCGTGACACTCTTCAAGGACCCGTACTTGGACGCACCAGATGACTTGGTGCTGCGCTGGGCTCGCCTTGCCCTCTCCTGCACCGCCATGCCTGCGGCCTCCCGCCCCTCCATGAATCAAGTGCTGGGAGAGCTGGTGAAGTTTAAGCAGGAGGCGTCCGGAGCACATGAGAGCCATGTGGGCGAGGCCAAATCTCGCATCGACATGGAGCTTGGATATTCCATTGGCTCCTCCAGCTTCACTGCTGAAATGGCCCGTGCGGAGCGTGAGGGCATGCCAAGCAGCTCTTCCACATAATCAAGTTCGTTTTCACTTGATCCTTACTGGTTTACATAGAGCTTCTGGTAACAATAATTTGTACCATTGGTATGAGGCAATATGGCTTGTTGAAAGACGCTTAGTAAAGGATACTGGTAGCATCTTTGATGATCAGGTAGATGGAACAATAAAATTGGGTTAATCACACCAAAAGCAACGACTAAAGCTTTGGCTTGTCTATGGGTACATATATCTCGTTTATCACATTTTGTATATCTCTTACCTGTTGCATGCATGCTATATGCTACATTGTAGAATAGCTTCAGTCATGATCAATATGGGATTTCAGGATGGAATCTATAAGCCTTTTCTGTGGCAGCAACAAACATCAGGCTCATAAAGCACTAAACTCTCAACTTACCAAAAAAGGCTGCGCAAGATGATAATATGATATACCGTAACCCTCTGATAGTGGTCCTGGTAGCGCTACCAGACTCCGAGCCCCTTGCATGCGAGTTGGCTCCAGCTGTGCCACTCACCTCCCCTCCAACCTCTCCACCACTCAATTGTCGATCACGGCCAGTTTCCTCAGGTTTTGCGCATGACCCGGCAATACTGGCAAGACACTTCATGAATTCAACACTTCAAGTTTAATTCAAACACGTAACTTGTGATTTCCCATACATTAAAAACACAGCATTAAATTATGTACATATGATCAATTATCAGCTTAAATATTACAGTAAACACTGAAATTTCAAAGTCTTTTGGGAGGGGAAAGCTGAACTCCCAGCTTAATCGATGGATCAGCCAACCCTATGAGCAATCTAGGGGCCTGATCCGGACAATATCCACTTCTGTTCAGTGCCTTGTCATCTGCTACACATGGGCAAAAGGGGTTTAATTTCTTCATAGCCCTTTCATAGCAATGACATGTCAGATGCGGTAGGGGAAGAGCCTTCTGGGGGGAATGAAACCTGGCAACAAAAACGTGAGTATAAGAGGGTATGGAGAGAGACAGGGGAAAATAAAACCATAATCCAGTGGCGATAAGGCCCAAAGGCCCTTACAAATAAAAAATAACTTGGGTGAACATTAGAGAAATTCTTGGGTGAAAAACATATGACTTGCACCGAGCACAGATACTCCATGAAGCCCATTGCTGACTCATCGACCCACTAACCGACCCATCGCTGACTTATCGACCCATGGGCTGACTGACCACAATCCGATCACTGCCACCACTGCACTCTGTTTAATTATATAGATATACCTGCAAGTTCTGCTGCTTGGTGTAGACTGGGTAAACACCGAAATTGGGGTAAACCCAATTCTAGATGTAGAACACAGGACCAACTTTAGTGTGCTGGTTGACCATTGTGAAGGACAGCCAACTGTACAGAGTTGGACACACACTTGTGGTGGGTGGTGTATAGCTTCCCACAGTTGGCTGCAGTCCAACTCACCCCTCTAGGCCAGTCGGGTCCTTGGACCAACTCACCCCACTAGGCCTGTTGGGTCCTTGGTCCAACTCACCCCACTAGGCCAGTTGGGTCCTTGGTCCTACTCACCTCACTAGGCCAGTTGGGTCCATGGTCCAACTCACCCCACTAGGTCGGTTGGGTCCTTGGTCCAACTCACCCCACTAGGCCGGTTTGGTCCTTGGACCAACTAGGGTTGAGCAAAAAAACGAACACCTGTTCGGTTCGCCTCGAACGTGTTCGAGGCGAACCGAACAGGTATTTTTTTTTGGCTTAAAATGTTCGCCGAACAGTGTTCGATGTTCGCCCGAACACGTTCGTGTTCGGGCCGCTGCTGCAATTTGCCCGCGACGAACACGAACAGTGTTCGAGGTTCGCCCGAACACGCCTTCACATGCGAACGGCGAACACCATTTTTTGCTCAAAGTGTTCGCCGAACCGAACAGTGTTCAGTTCGGCAAACGAAGGTGTTCGTGCAGGGGCGAACACGAACACGTTCGTGTTCGCCACTTGCTCATCCCTAGGACCAGCTCATCCCACTAGGCCGGTTTGGTCCTTGTCCAACTCACCCCACTAGGCCATTTGGGTCCTTGGACCAACTCACCCCACTAGGCCTGTTGGGTCCTTGGTCCAGCTCACCCCACTAGACCAGTTGGGTCCTTGGTCCAACTCACCCCACTAGGCCAGTTGGGTCCTTGGTCCAATAGCCCCACCAGGCCAGATGGCTCGCTGTTCCATATAGATCTGGCCTCTGCTTTATCTTTGTCTTGAATGTATATCCTGCAAGCTCACTTGAGATAATGTAACTTCTACTCCTAAGTCCTTCCCTACCTAACTTGTCTTTCAACAAACCCATGATCTCATAACCTCATGATTACATTACCTTATGATCTCATAACCCCATGATCTCATGACGGGCCATGATCACATAACCATATGATCTTATCACCCCATGATCTCATTATCTAATAGTCACATCACCCCTAGATCGCGTGATGATACAATCACATAATTTCATGATTACATAACCCCATGATTACATATCCCCATGATCTCATCATCCCATGAACATCACCACATGATTACATTATCCCATGATCACATCACCTCAGAATCTCATTGTCCATCACCCTATGATTCCATTATCCCATCTCCCCTTCACCCCATCAACTCATACCCCATCGCCCCATCGTCCCATCACACTCTCGCCATGCCCTTTCACTGGATGTGATCTGCACGACAATGGCTATGTTCAACAACTTCAGGCAGTTCATTGCTTGTCCTCCCCACCATGGCCCCAAATCTCTCAGCTGCACGAGGCATGAGCTACAAATTAGGAGCAATGAAATCCATACACTTGCATGTTTAAGCCGTTGGCCCAAATTGCACAAGTTTTAAAAGGTTGAGGCGTGGGGGCTCTTCTGGTCTGGGTTTTGGCGAGGAATTTCGATTTCGTTTTTTTTTTTTTTTTTTTTTTTTTTTTTTCATTTTTTTCGCCAAATCCAGCCTGCCCTCGTATTTCGCCCTGGGGGTTGGGTCAGTCCCCAAATGTCCCAAATTGCAGGTGTGCTTCTTTTCAAAGCTTGCAAACAGTACTTCGTCAAGTTTTAAAATCCTGACCCGCGTGCTCCGCAATTTGGGCTGCGGGCTTTAAGGTTGCTCTCTCTTCCTCCATACTCCCAAATACACTCTCCACCCTCCCCACGTCTTCCAGCATCGTGGCAGAGCCACCAGGTGTGCTGAGTACAGCAGTCACTCTCCGTTGCCTTTCCTTCCCCTTCCCCATACTCTTTCCCATCCCCACCCCTTTCTCCCTTTCCATCCTCATCCCCATTGCCATCCGCCCCTCCATGGTGTGCATAGTCCGGCCAGCATCCAATCCGCCTTTCCTGCACCCACCTCCCTGCTCTCTCCCTCCCTCTTCCCTTGACCGCCCTTGTCCATCAAGCTGTTCCTGCACCCACCAGGTGTGCATAGTCCAGCCAGTAGCATCTTTCCCCGGCGAAAGACGACTCGGGAAATGTCAAGTCGAGTTGGGCGATGCATTGCCCATTAGGCTGAACCAACTTGACTCGACCCGTGACGACACAGATTAAAAAAAGAAAGCACTGACTCGACCTGACAAAGATTCGAGTCGATTTAAGTCAACACTCAACTTGTCGCTTGCGTCTGACCTAGCAAGTGAGTGCTGATTTGGATATCCCCATTCTGCGAGGCTAGCCTGTAGTAAGTGCCTTAGCCTGGGAGTGTCTTTGCCTGCGAATGTCTTCGACTGGGAGTGTCTCAGCCTGGGAGTGTCTCAGCCTGCGAGTGACCTAGACGCTGTACTTCTGACTGAACAGACTAGTGAGTGTCTTAGTTTGTGACCGACCTAGCTTCTGAGTGAACTAGGTGTGAATGGCGCAGCATGTTTGTGACCTAGCTTGTGACTTGCCTAGTTAGTGAATGACTAATTCTGTTGTTGGGTTACTTCTGAAAGGCCTAGCCACTAACCACCAACGAGCGAGATGGTTTTTTGCTATCTCATTGTCTGAAGCCAGTTCAGAGTCTCTAGGTCAGCCATAGAACAAATACATCCACTGGCTCTCGGCAAACTGCCAGGCTCGCCCCAGCCTTGCGACTCGCATGCGAGCCACCTCATCTCAACCTCCCCCAAGTGTAGTCGTCAACTAGCTCGGGGGATTTTGCATGTCTCGCACTCCTTGCCGACCTCCTCCAATGGAGGAGGTATGAGAATTGTAGATCTTGAATGCATTGGATCTGACTTGGAAAGTGTGTCGTAGAAACCCAGCGCGACCTGAGTCGCTCTGGTCCCAAGCTGACCAGCTCTCTGAGAACAAGGTGGGTCCAAGCCCCGTTGCAAGTCGATTTCAGGGATCGTCTGTCTCGGCTCAACGAGCTGCTCATTCATTCCTACTATGGCATTCACTCACTACCCTAGGTGTGTGCTCGCTCCGGCTTCTCTCGCCTTCCTGACTGTGGTAAGGCGAAGAGTTGGCAGGTCACAATATATTTCTCTACTAGTTTCCTGCCCAACAGTTGCCTTTCCAATAACTGTCACTCTTACTACCGTTCTACCTATGACATTGTTGCTGCCCTAATCGTTCAGCTCACACCTGCGCCACACCACTAGCGTACCAACCCTCTGTGTGCCAGCCGACTGTGCTCCACATACATTAACCTGCAGTCTTCCCTGCTCTCTGCTGGTCTCCACCCTTCGCTCTCTGCATTCGTTTCCCCATTGTTGCAACTATTTCCCATGTCCCAGCTTGGCAGTACCCACCCACATTTCTTGCCCGTCCCTGATATCTTGTCTCCTCTGCTCCTCCCCCTGGCCTCCCCTTATTCCACTGAAGTCTAATCTCGTGTCAACTGCATGTGTGTGCACAAGCTTCGTCTCTCACTGAGTGGTCCATCGTTTTGTGCCTCGTCCCACACGAGTGTTTTCCCATTGTGTGTGCATTCACAACCAACTTCCTCTTTGCACCCGACCTTACCCCTCACCCCACCCAGGTGTTGTCTACTTTCGACAGTCTGCAGTGAAGGAGGTGGTTGATT